ATTTTTTGGGGATTAATATTTATCATGGAGACTTTTTATTTGTACAAGTGGCAAAATATTCTGTACTATGATGAGATTTGAGCTGGAGAGTGTTTAATTATGAACTTCTATAAGTCATAAGATAGATATAAACTAGCTTTATTTATTTATTACAGCTCATTTTTTAACAATATTGTAGATTTTTAAAATATTTTTGGAAAATTCTGCTTTGTGGTTTTGTTTCAATAGTATCATTTATTGTCTATATTTACTTCAATATACAGTATATTGCTCTTCAAAATGTGTTATCGTGACAGCGCTATTCATATTAAATGTAACAGAAAATGTGCACCAAGTTTCTTGTAGAGGTGCAAATGCAAGGAACAGTAAAATAAAAGTGAAAAAATGCATTGCGCATTCCGATGGCTGATGTCCAAAAGCTTTTTTAAATTTCTAAATAACACTTTGGCAAAAAAAAAGCCTTCATCAGATCATTTTTCTTGCTTTGGATCACATGCCTGTTTGTACTGAAATCATGTAATGAAATGGTGATTGAAAACAATGAAATTATATTATTGATACAATTGAAATATATGTTTATATCACAATGGACCTAGGAAAACTACAGCCAGGCTGGTACCACCTAGTGCCTCCACTCCATTTCATTTTTCTCCAGCGACTAGGTCAAGAATCGAAGACAGTTTGCAAGAACGCCGGAAGCTGTGGACCGCACACCGGCCAATCAGAGAAGAACTGTAAAGCCATGACATCAAACTCCAGCACCTGTCTGGGTCCCTTTTTTGGTACAGCACAACAGTAAACAAAGCGGTCGAGATGGATGTAGACGAAGCCATACATTCTGCGTTGGCAATGATTCCTGAGATCGAGGATTTAAAGTTGGAATAAAGAGAATGTTTGGTGAATTTTTGTCAAGGGGAAAGATTTTATTGCCCCTTTTCCTACGAGATTAGGCGCATTACATACGTCACGACCAAATGGCAGCGATTGGTTGAATATAAAAAGTGCGAGCCTACTGTCGAGTGAACGAATCCTAATGCTGCGGGGTCAAAGATTTCCACGAAGTGAAACCGGCTGATGAATCACGCTAGGAAAAAACTAGTAGATTGGATAACTATCAGCTATGGAATTCATAGAAATAATCATGTAAGCACTGACTTACATTGTGTTTGGAGACTAATCCATACTTTAAACCAAAACTTTAAACCACATTGTTTATGTATAGATTTATCTGTAGGGCACTTGATTTTTAGTGCCCACAAAGCCCAAGGTCCCCATGATGATTCCAGTCCCCACAATGTGATAAATAGCCATCCACACATACAATACATATCCACAGACACGGCGCCACCCACTCGTCTCACTGTTTGGAATAGAGCAGCTCTAGGCAATTTCCATGGCCGCCTCTAAAGAGATTTGAAATTGCCTTTGGTCCTGAAGCCCTGGCAATTAGCAATTAGTGGAGTGATTGTATAGCAAGCTCTCCACTGCCTCCCCTGGGCTAGCTTCCCCGCTGCGCCCCAACCCTGCCCGGGGGCTGGAGTGATGTACTGGAGCCATAAGATGATGCATGCGTCTGTGTGAGTGGGAGCATGTGTGAGTGTCAGTGCAGCCAGGCGTTTAATATAGTCTATATGCACAGCGCAGCCTGTGGACAGACTGCCAGTGGCCTGTGAGTTCCAAGCATGGTGTGGTGTTGTGTGAAAAAGGGGCTAGAGTCATCAAATCCTGCTACTGCATGAGATACAAATGTGCATGTTGTGAAAAGACTAATTGGAATTCACATTTGAAGTCAAAACACATACATAGTTTAGTTAAAGGGCCCATATTATGTCATTTCAGATCTATGTTATGATCTAATGTTGTTTCCTCATCGTAAACATACCTGGAGTTATGTTTTTTCACGCTTGTTTCACACCAAACTCTATAACCCCCATAAGTAAGTGGTTAGTTCTTCTCTCAAACTGAAACCACTTTGTTCCACTTTGTGATGTCATGTGGTTATACCAGAGGTGGTGCTACCATTAGGCCAAAGTAGGCAGCTGCTTAGGGCCCCCAAACCTGGAGGGGCCCCCAACCAATTGCCCTCAGTGCCACTAAATGGCCGAGACCTCAGAGCAATTTCATTTTCTCTCAATATGACATTAAATGAGAGTAGTTTACTTTTAAACAATAATCATAAGAACAATAATAACAAGAATCATAATAGGTGTAAACAAAAATGTAATTGTAATAGCAAAAAATAATAATAAGACAAGTTTCCAATCCACTATAATTCAAATAAATCAAGATGTGCATGTCTCAAGAACAATGGGGGAAAAACAGACAATAAATATATAAAAAACTAAACGTAACGGTGCATTATAGTGAGACCCCAAACTCAAGTTCACCTAGGGCCCCGAAATTGCTAACTCCACCACTGGGTAATACAGGAAATGCTCCACTGTGTTGTTAAACTCCATACACCTTCACTGGAATCATTTGGATAATTTCAGCCCTTGAATTGCGCATCTCTATTAAACAAAAGGTAAACGGTAGCTGTTAACTTGAAAACTACCACTACATGGCATCACAAGGTGGAACAGAGCATCTTTAGCATTGAAGATGTAGACAGATTGAAAATAAACATCTAACTTATTTACTTAAACTCAAACATGTGTGAATGAAACAAAACAACTCGGGTATGTGTTTGATGACAAAATAATGATAACAATGTTCTAACCTGTCTTAAAGATCCCTAGGGTTAATTTTGTGTAATATAGGATCCAATAGTAGGGTCGTGGATATGTATGATGTAGTCTTACTGGTTAGAAAAGGAACTATCACCACTGCCAGTGCCCTTCCCTGCATGAAAAGTGTGTTTTTTCCATTCATAGACCATGCCTCATTTGAAAGCTCAAAATCTCTAACAGTCACCTGCTCAAGGACTGGTTAATGGTTGGCTGCAGGTGCTGTGGTTTTGAATATTCTGATCTGAGCGAGTCCTTTGGGTTCATTTGCAACTGTTTCTGTCATAGAACCCAAAGTGAAGAACACATTCTGTTTTCTTACTGAATAATAGGCTTGAGAACTAAAATGCAACATGGAAATATAAACTCCTTGTTAGTAAGAAGAAATCACCTTCACAATGGCTGTTAAAATCAATATTTGATTTGAATGTTTACTTCATATCTGGGGACAGAGGTAGTTAATGTTCACGAATTATTCAAAACTACTTCAATAAAATGCCATAGAAACAATATATACAAGCATTGGCAACATCACACATACTAACATTTTGTGAATTCAATCATTCAAATATCACTTTATGTCGTAAAATAAATGATAGCCATCTTTGCAAATTTAACATTCACACAACTATGCATTTATAGCTAAATTACGTGGGCTAAAAGAGGCAGGTGGTTATTAGAGCATGCATGTGTAAATTGGTTACTTTAATTGGCCACACTGAATGAATAGCAAAAATGAATAGTTTCAAACCTGCAATCAGCTGGCCCTCCATATCCGCGTGGAAACCAATAGATAAAATAAGACTATAATAAGGCCTATTTTTGTATAAGAGGTCAAAAGTTACATACAGAAATTTGGTTCAGAAATGACTAAAGAGTATTTTATTCTTAAATGAGTTAGTAAGCTATAATAAATGAGTTATAATAAGTAAGTAAGATATTATATTTTCTCATAACAGCGATGGATATTTTTGAGTCCTGAAATGAAAACGCACCACCCATTTCACATTAAAATCTTTATTATTGCCTTGATGTTTGCAAGTCAAGGTTTAGCCTTTGTGTGTTTTTGAGCAAGAGATCAAATCATTCAGTATTAAACTACTTTTGATGGTGAAAGGAGAAAGTAGGTATTTAAACTTGTGACTCGTAACTTGTTCAAATAATTTCACCATAAAACCCCAAATTATAAAAATCACTCAGTGTTGGACATCTTTAGAAAAATCTGCCTTATCCTATTGGAGTTGTAAACTGTGGAACTTGCTACCAAGTGAAAATGTGGATAATATATAATGTTGTAAATAATGTATAAACTTAAGGCCACTAATTAAGTCATAATACTGCAATCTAAAGAAAATGAGTGTGTATGTAATTCCTCAGGTAGACAAAATTAAATAAAATTCAGTGTGTTTAAAGTGAATACATTTCACCAGTCATAGCTTCTTCAGTTCTGACAGGGTTCTGGTAACAGAGGAGCTAACTGCAATGAAACACACCCTAGTGGTTTACAACAGAGTATCTGTTATTAGTTAAGTCCAGTGAAGTACCCTAAGGTGTGAACTGTTATCTGAGTCTTACGTTACATAACTCTTCCTGATGCTAAGGAGTATCCTATTAGATAATCCTATCAAACTGATGAAGCTAATTGGATGGGTGGCGAAATGTATTCACTCTTAAAGGGCCTATATTGCACTTTTTTTTTTATTTTTTATCTGTCTTATAATGTTGTTTATCCTTATCACAAACATACATGGACACACCTTCACTAGAATAATTTGAATAATTTCAGCCCTGGAATTGCTAATCTATGTTGAACAAAAGGTAAAAAGTCACTGTTAACCTGCAAACTACCAGTTCATGACAAGATGAAACAGAGCTTTGGAGATGCAGAGTAATAATAAACCAGGCGTACTCAAACATGTGTGAATGAAACAAAACTCCAGCTCCAGGTATGTTTTGTATGATGTAACAACATTATATCCTTGTTTAAAGCTCACAAGAGTCCATTTTGTGTAATATAGAACCTTTAAAAACACAACAGTATGTCAATTACCTTAGAGTCATAGTATAGCATGTCCTTGCCTTTTATGCTATAGTGTTATTACATCTGTATTACCTACCCACCTCTTGTCGTATGCTTTTGTGAATGCCTGTGTTCCTGCATAGCTCTACATCTGCTGTTGTGAACATCTGCCTGCAATGCTTTACAACGTGTTTGTCTATTCACTGCACCGCTGACCTCTCCCATCCTTCTTCCTCTCCTGTTGTTGATTGCAGTGACAGCGAGGAGAAGCCACTGAAGGGCAGCTTGTGTTCCCTGACCGCCAATGACGACACGGGGGACAGCCTGAGCGGGGACAGCCTGGTGGACTACGCAGACGGGGGCGGGGAGTTCGATGAGGATGGGTCATTTATAGGTGAATATTCAGGACCTAAGCACCGGGGATCTGTGAGTGAGCCCAATGGACACAGCCTGGTCGCACAAGTCTGAGATGGCCAAATCCGGATTACTGCGATATCTGCCTTCCTCGTGGTGAGAGGAAAGATAAGACTCAGAAATAACTGGAATGGACAGAAGTTATGCGTGGGGCTTGCCAAAAGACTTTCAGAGGAGTATTCAATCTTTGTACACAGCAATAAGTGGACCTAATATAGATAAGGAACTCATTTTGCAAGTTTGGATTTAAGGACATTTGGTGATGCAATGTATAGTTTGTAGTGCCTCCCCCACACTGCAGAGGGACAGAAATAAGATAAGACAATCTTTATTTGTCCCGCAATGGGGAAATTCCAGTGTTGCAATACACAGTTCAAGAACAGCAGGTGAATAAATATATGCAAGAATATAAATGTGTTTAGATATTTGTAACCTATTTTTAAACAGTGAACGCATCCATCAATATTCACAGCTGAAATTCAGGTTATTTTAGGGTGCACTATGTAACTCTTGAGTGGATGGTCCTGCTCGTCTCCATGGAGTTGATATTTCTCTGCCCAGAATATTCCACAAAATGGTTATTTATTGCTCAAAATAAGATTCATTCTCAGTCTGAGTGGGATCGCCTCTCCACATGTGACCTGCAACTCAGTCTTCTTACCTCCATTGATATTGATGAGTTTAAAGAAGTTTAATGCTACAGTGGTAAGAAATAAACCTTCCATGGAGACAAGCAAGTGACGAACCCTCTTTCAGAAAAGTTACCTGGTGCAGCTTTAACATACCACTAAATAGTAGGGATGTAACGATATCCAAATCTCTCGATACGATATTATTACGATATGCATCTACGATATTTATTGCGATATTTTGAAGAGGCTGATATAATTCTAGATAAGATGCACAACCCCAAGAATTCAAGTAAAAATATATTTCTTCATGTTGTCTGCACTGAAATGAATCATGGGATATGTAGTTCCTGACGTTTATTAGCTATTGCTACTATAAAAAAAATGCCCCACGGTATTATTGTGAGAGTTTTGATGATATGATATCATGATATTTCGGTTATTGTTACATCCCTACTAGACAGATATGAATGCCATGTTTTTTTGTACCATGTTACAAAACTATCCTCCACTGTTGGGCGTCATTATTGTTCATTCATGTATATTATGTAAATACAAGATAGATGCATATTGATTACGTTAGTGTGAACATTGTTAATATGATTTCACCATGTTTTTCTATCTATTTTTGTTTTGTTACATGTCTTTGAGATATTAAATTTATCAACTAAAGGTGGTTCCCGAGGTGTACCTTTTTGAACATCCCTGTCAAAGCGAAAAGAACACAAATTATTTCTCAATGTCACGACTTGACCTCGGTTAAAAATGAATGCGTGAATGAATATTGTAATTTTAAAGTGTCTTTCAGTGTTCACAAAGGAGAATAGGACGAGTGCTTTTATATTTCAGATTTTTACCTCATACCAAAAATAATTTAGTTCACTAAATTACTGCAATCATCAAATAAAGTACTACTAGCAGTTTTATAGCTGAAACTATTATATTCATAGATACAAGACGTCTGGTACTTTTGGCAACAGTTACAGCCGTTATAACAGTTACTAACGGTTCAAACTCCTTACGTTCAGCTCATATAGTTTCATTTAATGCTGCAGGGTATTTCTATAAGGAATCCATTCTTGTATGTCTTTTAAAATAGTTATCATTTTTCCACTGTTGAGCAGGATCTTACAGGGTGACTGACTTCATAGCCTTATAATAGTATCTGGACTATTTATTAACATAGCTCCTCCATCTCACACTTCACAAGTCACAAAAAAAAGAAAAAGAGAAAAAAAAAATCACATTTAAATACGCTGCCTTTGCATTCTGCGTAAACCTCTGTATACGAAAGCCTGTATTTGACGTTTACGCTTTGGCTAAACACTGAATATGAATGCACCATAACAAAAGTATACTCATTTGCTATTCCTTAAATTATGCAGCCAATTTTGCATTCATACCACGCTTGCAGAAAGAGGAAGGAAACACACACACACAGCTAAATTAAACCCACTATTCACAAAGGTCAAACAGATCCCTGAATCCTAGAAAGATTTTTTTTTCTTCTACTGTATGTCTCTAGTACATGCAGTGAGCCCTCACATACATAATGCATGTTGCTGAAATATTCATCAAGGATATAATTCAAATAAAGTTGAGATTCAACCGATCCACATTCGTTTTAAAAGAGATGCAAAAGGGATCCAGCAGCGTCAGTGTTTGCAGGGAAATCTTAATGTTTTATGGACTGGGACACGTTCTAGACCGTTAACATGTGAAGCCACCGTATTTGGTTGGTAAATAGTCTCAATTGCTAAACAGCACTGGTAAATCTTGTAGTGAAGTATAGGAGCTTATGATCAATGTATGCATGTCCATTTTTTCTCTTGTGATTGAAGAGGGTTTATGCGTTTTTCCTCTCTCCAAGAAAGATGCAGGGTTGTTTCTAGATTGATCTTTCTGTGTATAGCTTGCATATGCGCACCCATGTCAAGGTACATTACTTTGGGTTCTTCTCTGGTTTGCCACTTTCAACTTAAAACATGCACAATAGATTAATCCTCCAGCTAGTTACTCCTGCCTGTGAACCTATAGCTCAATATCTGGAGATGGATCCCTGGTGCTGCGGGTGATCTCCTGCTGTTTCTTTCAGGATGCACCAGCACCATGAAAAGAGGAGACAAATACGAAGGACAGGTGCTGTGTGCCTGGACAATGCGTTAAGTGTACCTTATAGTCCTTGCACTGACAAACAGCTACAGAGTTGTTTACTTATTTTATTCAAAATAATATTTAAAAGTCTACTATGTAACTTTTCTGGGGAAGAGTCTTCCACCTGCTTGTCTTCATGGGCATGTTATTCCTTTACATGACATGGCACTGATATTCTGAGTTTCTGCTTGCTGTATAAGAAAAGAGGTGAGGACCACAAGAGCGTTTTCTGAAGGTTTAATATAAACACATACAGAGCTCTGGCTCTACTGCCAAAATGCAATGACAGAGAGAGTAAGTCTCAGGAACGAACAGTTTTTATACACTGGTGGAGGACAACAGGTGTGAGGCTCATGTCAGAGTGATCAATACATGGTCAGGCAAAAACTGTAGTTGTAAAAGTGTACTGTGACAACTTAACGTAATTTTAGGAAATAACAGACTTATTCTCATACTCCTTACACGAAGCTCGTTTGTCCTTCAACTAACAAAAATGGCATTAAACTTGTACATCTCCAAGCAGGTGATGCAACTAGACAAGTTACAAGTCAGATCTATGGAGGAGTTACCCCACCTACACTAAGCATACATGTTTTTCAAGGTATTTTTGTGTAGCAATAAAAATGCCTGTAACTGAAAAATAGCACAACAAATCAGATTAACGGTTTTATGAGAAAAATTCACAGTGAAGGAAAAACATCTCCATAAGAGCAGAGAAGTTACGTAGTTCACCTTTAGTAAGACAAACGTTGCAAAAAAATTAAACATTGAACCTATTACCAACCTCACCTTTTCTGCATTCTTGTGACCAGTTTTGTGCCTTCCAACTTTAATTTGAGGTGGAAAAGCCACCTAACCACAAGACAGACCTAACTTTTGCTGGTTACCATGGTAACAGTCACCTGCTAACCACCACAAAAGGAAGAAAGTGCTCATAATTTGGGGTTTGGTGTTGTTCATAGGGAGAGGGAGTTTTACTGACCAGTGTCGCCCACTGGTTGCAGCAAGAAATCTTTAATCCAGACAAACTTTAAACATCTTTGGACAAAATTTAAACAGGAATATATTTTTACGGTATATATAAATCTAGAAGTAAACTAGGCTCCACTTTTGAAAGCATTAAAATAAGGAAATAAGAACAGTGATTGATTGCTGTATGACTTGCTTGGGGCGAGTCCACTGCTTCCACCATCACCTTTGGTTTTGGTATTGTTTAGAGAAAGAGAAGTCATTGCTCCATAGTTATTTTTAGAGAAAAACTGCCATGACTAAAGTTGTATAATTCCTCCTCAGTAAAAGGCACACCAGGTATGCTTTAAACGGTACAGTGGTTGTCAATATTGGTAAATGGTCAATAGTCACATTTTATAACCTGCCAGGCTCTAAAAGCACTTTACATCAAGGAACTATTTACACATATTCGTACAACAATGTACACAGATACTGGGAGTGAGGTGGGTTGAGTGTCTTGACCAAGGACACAATGACAACATTTATCTGTGAGAGATAGATTCAAACTACTAACCTTCGAATCTGTGGACAAACGCTCTAACAACTGAGCTACTGTCAGGTAAGATATCCATTGACTCCAATTTGCCAAAGCTCTGAACCTGTTTCTAAACCAAAGTGTGACAAGCGATCATCACAAAATGAAGAGCTGCACATTTGCTTGTTATTTAGTATCCTATTTGAAAAGAAAAAGCTCTGAGTCATGTTATAATTCTAGGTGTTACAATAAAACTGTTTGGTAGGTGTTTTTATGAAGTTGCGAATCTTTTTACAAGCATTTTCAGAGCCAAACTTTTAACAAGGTGAGCATTACAGGACCAGAAAGTATATTCTGCTCCAGACTTGAGATATTTTTGACACCGGAGGCTCATTCCACATCTCTACAATACCTATGAGGCCCATACGTGCATTTGAATACACAGTCTGTCTGCGTCTATGGCTTGGTGACTACAGATGCACAGGTAATCAAAGCAGGAGAGAGGAAACTGCAGTTGAGAAACAGTCCATGTCTCACGGTAAAATAAAGGTCATTTAAAGAGATAATCCCTGTATTGTCTGGGATTATGTCCTCATCCGATTTAAAATGGCTTTCTCCAAGGATCGTGGAAACTCTAAACAACAACACAAGATTATTCCGGTCAAAGTCCCAAGTGTGTCCTAAACCACTATTAGCCCTGCTCCATTTGGTTTGTAATAAAAATGACTTAGAGATGACCTTTGTTTAAATAAATAAAGGTGTGTGGAACCAAATGAGATGTTAACTGCTTGCATCTTTATAGTTTTGTATAATAATGAGCAGTAGCTATTTAGTGTTCACCGTAAATAATAAACTTGCAGAGGTTAATTTTATAAAGGTCAGGTTTGATAGCCATATTTATAAAACAATTGAGGAAGGCCACTTTCTGCCTGTGCAGGAAGAAACAAAATGAAAGCTCTTAATTTGACCACACAATACAAGATAAGTCACAATATTGACTGAAAATAGGCCTGTCAAATTTTGAAATGTGATATACTGCTGAAGTAAATATAGATGATAAACAATAACACCGAAACTAATTTATGCAACTGATACAATAACCCGGGGGCAGATTTAAACCTTTTTTTTTTATACTTAATTAATTTTTATACTTAAAGGGACAGTCACTAATTTTGGACATAGGACCTCATTTCCTAGTTAGCCAGAGTGTTGGAGACGTGTGGAGACAATTTTTAAATTAGTCCATCCAGTCCTTGTATTTGCAGAGGATCGCTGGTGCTACACTAGCGCATGTCAATGGCCATAGTTAGCCTGCCACTAAAAACAGTATTACCCACTCCACAAAGCACCTGAAACAAATCTGTTCTTATGCCAGACTGTCGATGTGAATGTCTGTGTTGATAGAATAATTTTAGAAGTAAAACCAACCTTGCATTTGAAGGATTTATGTCTGAGCAGCAGCAGCAAATTGTAGTTCCTGATAGAAAGCTCGGCAGAGGCAGACTGATATCACCTAGCACCTATCTTACCGGCAAAGTATTCCGCCGCTGCTGAGAATATAGTGCCTCAACATGCGACGATTCATGTGATGCAAGGTTCATTTTATTTCAAACATTATTCTGTCAACACAGATATTTGCATCGACAGTCTGGCGTAATAATAGATTTGCTTTGGGGGCTTTGTGGAGTGGGTAAGACTGTTTTTAGTGTCAGGCTAACTATGGCCATTGACATGCACTAGCCTAGCACCAGTGACCTCTGCAAATACAAGGACTGGATGGAATGTTTAAAAAAGTGTCACATCTCACTCTGGCTAACTAGGAAATGAGGTCCTTTGTCCAAAATTCCAGACTGCCCCTTTAAATCTTATCATATATCCAAAAAATGTTTCAATTAGTGCAAAGAAAATATACACATGATAAACTGACCCCCCAAAAGTATTTTTCCAGGTTATACTAAGTATAGTAATGACAAGCCTATCAACAAGTGTGTAGTTTTGATTCTCCTAAATATACTAATCTACTAATATACTTTAAA